TTAATTGCCTACATACTTGCTACTTACGAAATTCTATGGAACTGTATACTTCTAGACCAGCATTTTACAAAAATAATTCTGAGGGGTGTTAACAGTTCTTTTGAGTAGAGGTGGCTTTCTTTGCTGTAGGACTTCTTAGAAGCACTGGAAACTCTCTGTTGCTTACTCAACAGCTCTTGGTACTCCTTTCTTCGCTGCCAGCATAACCAATTCTTTTTGCCCCAGACAGTGAGAATGAATGGATTAGACCAGTGCCTAGATCTTATCACAAATAAAAAAAAACCAAAAAAACAGTTGCCATGGAGTCGATTCTGACTCATGGTGACCTTACATGTAGCAGAACTGTGCTCCAAAGGGTTTTCAAGGCTGTGACATTTTGGAAGCAGATTGTCAGGGCTTTCTTTCTTTCTTTTTTTTTTTTAATAATAGTTTCTTGCATTTTCAGTAAAGGTTTACACAGTAGTTTTGGTTTCCATTTAACAATTTCTACACAAACTGTTCAGTGACATTGGTTACATTCTTCACAATGTGTGAATATTCCCATTATCTCCATTCTGGTTGTTCTATTTCCATTAATCTAGTTTCCCTTTCCCCTTACATTCTCATCTTTAACTTAAAGTAATTGTTGACCACCAATCTTTTATAAAGGAGCCTATGGGTGGACTCAAACCACCAAACTTTCAGTTAGTAGTCAACCATTTACACTACCCAGACAGACTCCATTCAACAGCAACAGGTTTTGTGGGGGACTCCTAGAACTTATTAGGTGCTCCATAAAGGTTACTTGTTAAAAACTAGAAAAACATTGTAAGACCAAAATATACTCAGAATCATAGAATCTGATTCACGTTTCTACAGAGCAGACTTGGTAAACCCCTAACCTAGGTAATTTTAAAGTTCAAATGGACTCTGAATATGGCCCTTTGATAGTCCCCCCAGTGTTTCTGCCACCATGTCTTTAGCCTCTTAGGTTAGCAATCTCTAGGCTACAAGGTAAAAGGCACTGGCCAATTTCAGAAACACAGAATCTTAAAGTATTGAATGATTTGCTAGTTAGGGCTGAGTCAGGACTTAGTCATTTAGCATTACATTAAAAAATCCGTTAGAAAATAGATGGTAGAAATAATTCGGATGGATGAAACTGGAATTATGTGGTTGCTCTCTTGATTTAAAATTCTTCTTACAAATTAAAAAAAATATACCCCATTAGTTTATAGGCCATGAAACTATGAACTACTTTAGGCTGGTATAAAATCTATTTATCTTTGTAACTCTTCATTGACGGTTGAATAATTAGGAAATGCATTTCTTGTACCCCTGCTGTGTTCCAACTACCATATAGCAGATTTGGAGGTGACTAGAATGTGGTTACCACAGTCCAAATGGAGAGATAGACATGTGCACAGATTACTAAAATGTGTCAGGGTCTATGGCAGGATATTTAAAATACAACAAATGAAGACAGAGGATGGGATGACATCTAATTCCATCTAGAAGATTTGGACAGGGCTTCACAAACACGGGCATATCTGAGCTTGGACATAAAAGGGGAGTTAACCTTCACTAAGCAGAAAAGAGTCCGGGGGGCAAGTCAAATGAAGAGAACAGCATGTATGCTTGGAATCCAGTAGGGAAACTTGGGGAATGGCAAGTAGCTCAAGGTGGCTACAGGTTAAGGTGACTGTGGAAGAGTGGCCAGCAACAAACATAGGCAGAGAGGAAGCAGCTAGACGAGGGAGGACTATAAATATAAACTTCCTGCTTTTTCTGTTATGAGTATTTCATCTTGAGAGATAACAAAAGAATAGGCGGAGCCAACCTCAGGATAGGTATGTGTGGAGAAGTTTGTTGTCGAGTTTTAATATAATATTGTTGATGGTTATCTTGTGTTAGAAAAAGAGATATAAACATTATACTGAACATTGAGTATATTTCCATAGTAGATAGCAGTAAAACAAATGACAATAAAGGAGACATTTTTGGAGATCAACATGACCTGATCATTAAAATGTTTTGATTTCTAGCATTTGTTAAAATGTCCCCTTCAGTAAGATAAGCATGTAAACTGATGGGTGATTAAACTCCCCATTTCCTTGAGTGGGTCTTAAGACTTAAAAGGTGAGTAAAACTTCACCAAGTGAGAATCCAGCCCTGCTTCTGCCACACCAGCCTAGTCGAATGAGCCCAGTCCGAAGCAAAACCAGTTCCAATAGTTCTACAGGAGTTGAGTAAGGAGCAGAGATGAAGGGCTGGGGCTGCGGTATCTGGGATTTTAAAAGTACTCTGTTATGAGAAATTGCTGGGACACAAATCCTACTCTTCCACTGACCACCCCCCTAGGCTTCACCCAAATGGGATCTCACGGTGGGCCTGACAGCACAACCAGTTCACACTCAGAAGAGCCACTAGCATTACATTTTCTGCCAACCATAGCCATGCATTATGACAGCAAATGCCCAGCCTATGACCACACCATGGGACAGCGGAATGGGTAGACACTAAAGCTGGTCTCTTTGTTTCCTTCTTTAACTTTTTTTTTTTTTTAATCTAAGAGAGTCAATAAATATGTTTTTTTCTTCCCTTTTTAAAGTCTCAGATATGAAAATTACTCTGATAGAACCATGTGGGTGGGTAAAGGAAGATTTTTCCTCATCCCTCCCTGCCCGAATTCCTCCAGCTATTCAGAGGAACCATCTGCATCACTTGCTAATGAGTCTGGATATGGTCCTAGGGGCAATGGGGAGCCATTGGAGGTTGGTAAGCAGGGGAGGGATATAATCAGATTTGTGATTTAGAAAAGCGGTTCTGGCAGCAGCAGGGATTGGAGAAAGCTGGCACTGTAAAGAAAAGGTCAGTTTGATGCTTCCACACTAGTCTGATTGATGATAAAGCTCCAGCCTGCTGTAGTATCAGTAGACATGGGGGAGGAAAAACTGACGGAAAGAAAGGAGGAGGAGGAAGAAGACGGAACTGGAGATCATACCAGGTTTCAGCCTGGAAGGCAAAGTTTGCCACCTAAAAGTGACAGGTAGCTAATCTCATAATTTTATCTACAGTCCTAGATGACAATGATTTGTGAGCCAAGGGATTCATCTAGTATTTTCAAGGTTTACATACATATACACAAAATAACCTGCAGAAAAGTTGTAGCTACGTATTCTTTTACCAATAGTATATGATTGGCAGTGGAACAAAACTGTAACTAACACTGGTGTCAGCAAGTATTCAAATTCTGGCTCTGTCACATAATAGCTGTGTGATTTTGGGTGAGTTACATAACTTCTCTGTGCCTGTTTTCTCATCTCTTAAATGAAGAGAATAATGGAACCCAATTAATTATTAGGAGGCTCAAATGAGTTATTATGAGTAAAAGATTTAGAGTACTGGATACCTTGGCGGCAGCACCTTGAGCTCAGTGCCTGGAGTGTATTCATCATTAAATAAATATTAATATATATTTTTTTATCTCTGCCTCTCTACCTTACCAAAAATCAGTACTGAAGAAATGGTACTTTCAAAGAAGAGGAAACCTCAGCTTACTTTTCTTTCTGCTATCATGATTACTATATTCCTCAAGTGGTTCAACAAAAGAAATACTGAAAAAGCTGAAGAAAAACTAACTTTTTTCCCTGAGAAAGAACGTAAGAGAAAGGTGAAAACAAATTCCCAGGCAGAGGGGTACTCTGTGGTTCAGTTTTTTGAAGACCACAGTACTTGCTTATAAACAGAATATTAAAACAAGCAAGAACAATTTTCCCCTTTTGTATTCCCTTATTGCCTAATTTTCTTCTCATACTATTTGCATAATGGGTAAAAAGGCATCCATTATGCAAATGAATGACAGGGCCCTAAGGTTGCTGAAGCCACAAACCTCGCTCTAGATTTCTGAAGAGAAGCTGACACAAAAAGCCTCCAACATCCACGTTCCAGCAGACTGCTCCACTAGCTTGGTTTACAAAAGATGGAGGAAAATCATGAAGACTATAGGTCATTAATTTCCATTTGGTTTTATTTTAGAAGGGCGCTACAGATGCCTTTCAGAAAATTAGTACAAAATATGGATAAGTCAGTATTGTGATACATAAAATTCACTTTACAAAACACAATTTATTTCAAATGGGAAAAACGAGTACTATGTACTTTACATTTTAAGCATATGCTTTGATTTTAAAAAAGAATAAGATTCTCTTTGCAAAGTGGAAAGAGCTTCTGTTCTTCTAGCTTAGAGAAGTAATCTATAACAGGTGCTTAGAGCAAGTCTCAAAATGCTGGACATACATTCAACAAGAATAAAAAACTGTTTTAAGTATCAAAATACTAGTGGATTTCCAAAAATTTCATGCTGTTAGACTGATATAAATTTATCTCGAAGATGTATCACCAAAAACTGACATGTTATTTTTCTTGGAGTTGTAAATTGACTGAAACCTAAGAAGAGTATTTTCTCTTTCTACCAATACCTACAAAACAAATATAACCAAAAAGAAGTCTGAGAAAAAATACTGGGTGATTGTTCTTGTTTGAATAAATCATGCAGGAATGGATTTCGAAAATGAGTTTAAAATATTTTCTCCAAACACTGAGATATGTAGTTTGAAGAGAAAAAGAAGGTGGCTAAGAACAGAAAGTGACCTTTATTTCTAATATGGATTCCTTTATAACCCTTAGCTTTTCCCAAATGATTTTTTCAGGGAATTTTTTAACGTGATCCTCATAATATACAGGTGAACCTCATCATTTAGAGTCAACTTCTCCCCTGTGTTACTTCAAGGGCATATAGCTGAGATTCACCTTAGTTCAAGAAAAAACTGCCATCTACTTATCTGTGAGCATCAGTAGCTGCAAAAAGCTATGTAAAATATAATTTAGAGAAAAAAAAATATAGATTTTTCTTGAAGGAAGATATCAACAGGATAAAAGTCATAAAGTAGACGCAATACACGGTCAGCAAGATGATTATTTTCAGCCAGGTGAAAGCATAGCACTAAAAATGCACATACCTGATTTCAGAGCAGAAGGGGTTACTTCTATTTCCCCACCAATTGGTTTAAATGCAGCCAGCTGGGCAGCCACTTCCGTCTCAAAAGCATCTGGGCTCTGCCGATCTGCCAGGTTTCCACTGGGGCTCTCAATCTTGTGAAGTGGTTCTTGTTCGTCAAACACAGCAATCAGCTACAAACAAATCCACCAACACTAATTACTTTGTAGGACACGCATATCACACAAACACGGTATCTAGTTGATGGTGCTCTTTATGTGGTTTTAAAGAAATGACCTCACGAAACTTAAAACTTTAATGTTACTGTGCCACCGTTCTGAACTCTTCAATAACATTATCTAAACTCTAAAATCACTGAGGCTGGGAAATAATTAATGGTTTGTTTTGTCTACTTCTGAAATAGGGAACCAATTCTGGTAAACTCTCTTAAAGGAATGAAATAGCTGCCGCCTCCCCTCACCACCTTCTCCAATATGCATAAATGACTTCAATATCTATTTTAAGAGTGTTCCCCAAAATGAAAGATGAATATACAAAAGTTGGAACAACTGACTTGCAGGTTATAAGGGGACATTCTTGTCTCAGAGAGCTAAAATACATTATAATATCCCTAATTATATCTGCCCTTCTGCACACAATCATAAATACATACGTACAGACATTTGTAGGCAATATATATGTGTGCATATATGTATATTGTTTCTCTTATTTATGTTGTATATACAGATATCCCATATTTGTACATGACTTTTCCTCTTCCTTCATGACTGACTCTTTGTCAACTGTTTTAAATACAATGAATGCTAAGTCTAATGAGGATAAAGATCAGCACTTTTAACCAAATTACTCCCATTGTCATCTCAATTGTATTTCATATGAGACCTATGCTTCTTATTATTAATATAAAATTTTTTACTTTTCCATTCTCACGTCATTCTTTCACAAAAATAAAGGCAAATATAATAAAATATTCAAGTAATTGTACAAAATCTTCTGTATACAAAAAATGAGGGCAACCATCTGAAATTGCATTTTTGGCGAGCAGACCATACCATCATTGAGTAACTTAAAAGGTCTATCATCAGCTGATGTGAAAAAGTTCAAATGTGAGTGCAAAGCACAACTCAGGGATCCTACTGTTAATCCAATAATGTACTCTGTTTGCAAATTTGAGATGTGCTAGAAAATCTTTAGATATTTTTAATTCATTAAATAAAATAAACTTATGAATCAAACATTTATTCAGGAAAGGGACTTAAAACCCCATTCACAGGGGAACCTTGTTGGCAACAGTATCAATAACACAACTGTAACGGTAACCAATCAAAACATCATAAATTCCAAGTTCAATCTTTCAAAAGAAATGAATACAATTAGGGATATGCAAATTTGCTGTTCAAAAATAATTTTCATAATTGACTACTCATTTTCAGTATGGCAGCTTCTTTAATTGGAAAATCCAACAATCCTCTTACCACAGGAAAGAAATGCTACTCCCAAGACATTATTTTTAATTCTTAAAATTGAGTACATAACATTTTCTATTTTTAATTGGTAGTATTAATGAACTGATTTGAGATAAGACTTAAATAGATTAATAATGAAAGAGTATTCTAGTTTAAAAATAATCAGTAGATCTTTATCTTTGTAATCATCTGGTCAAAAAAGAAGAGTTTAACACTTTAAATGCTGAAAAGGAAGCAAATCAATTTATTAAATGTAGTGGAAGTTTCATATTCATCACTGTTTCTGTGTCATATCACAATCCTGATGTTGTATATTGGTAAATTCTAAAATATATTAGCTATGTTCATTTAATATACTAGTCAACCAAGCAAAGTGACTACGCTGGTACCCCAAACAGAAGAGGGCCAGCTCCTGAATCTATGGTATCCAAACAAAGTCACTGATCCCATCCATACTGGCTGATAAGAGATTCTCTCCATTCCATCTTCATCTCAAATTATACAAATAACAGAGACTAAAACTTCTTTCAACATTGATAATTCATTTAAATCACATGTGGAAGGTCCCTTTTAACCAGATTACTTAATTTATTATAACACCTATGTTACCGGGTAAGAGAGGATCTGGCACACAGTGTTACAGAGATGCATTAATTAATATAAACCACTGTGTAAGTCCTTCAACAGAAGGCATGCTGGTTTTCAAAGTGTTCAGTAATTATAAATGGCCTTGCTGCCTTTAAACCCATTCAAAATTACCTTTCTCAGTGATATAAAATAGACATGAAAAAAGGAATTTTATTTAAAAATTTTTTTTAATGTTTCACATAGAGTAAACTTGTGGCATGTGAAGATTGATCACTAACAAATTAAGAGCTGCAGTAACCTAATCCTATGCAAAATGCATATGGGCAATATTTGATTTGGATGCTTTCTTCTTCTGCTGCCCTTATCCATCTTCTGGTGCCCCTTCTGTTCTCCTTCTGTGATGCCAGTGTTCTCATGTCATCCTGTGCAACACTGACATTTCCCAAAGATCCCATGAGCCAAAATGACCTGTTCGCATAGCCTTTACTTCCAATCAAAATTTCTATCCCCACAGACCTCTGTCCGCATGTAGGAATTTAATCCTCAGATACACACAGCAAAATCAATCTACAAATAAGCTATTCATACTCTCATTAAAAAAAGAAGTCTCAGAACCCATTTACCTTTATAGGTCCCAACCCTATTTCTCACTTTCTCTCTAAAGCACAACTCCTTGAAAGAGATGTCTATACTAGCAGTTCCCAGTATCTACCCTCTCCTCCTTTACTGAATCCTCTCTCGTCAGGTTCCCATCCCTCTAGTCCACTGAAAGTTCTCTTATCAAGGTCAGTAACAATCTCTAGACTGCTAAATCCAAGGTTACTTCTTTGTCCTGATCTTAGGACAGAGTTGATTATTGTCTCCTCCTTGAAACACTTTCTTCACTTGCCTCCCAGGACCCCACACTCTACTGGAGCTCTATTTAACTCTTCTGGCCTCCATTAAGTTTCCTTTTATTTACTCCTCCTCATCTCCTGTATTCTATCTCTAAAAATATTAAGAGAATATAATTTTGCTTGGCAATCTCATCTGTTTTATGGCTTAGATACCACGCCAATAAATTCCAAATTTAAATCTCCAACTCAAACCCTTTTCCTAAACTCCAGGTTCATATAGTCTACTGCCTAACCTAGTATGTCCAAAACTGAGAAATTGATCTTTCAAAACTCCTTCCATAGTTTTTTATATCTCAGTTAATGGCAATCCATCCTTCCAGTTGCTCACATGAAAAATCTTATAGTAATCCTGAGATCGCTTTTTCTAGTCCCTCCCCCAACACACATTCAACTTGTCAACAATTATCAAAATATAACCAGGTTTTGACCACTTCTCACCACCACTTTGCACCCAGCTACCATAGTCACATACTGCAACAATTTCCCGACTGGTTCGCCTTGTTTCCATCCATGCTCCTTTTGAATCTATTCTCAACACAGAAGCCAGAAAAATCTTCATAAAACATGTCAGATAATGCCTCTCTTCTGACCACCAGTTGCCCTGTAGCCCATTCTGACTCATGGTGCCCCCATGTATGTCAGAGTAGAATCGTGCTTCACAGTTTTCAATGGCTATGATCTTCTGAAAGCAGATCACCAGGACTTTCAGAAGAGGTGCCTATGGCTGGGTTTGAACCACCAACCTTTTGGTTACTAGCCGAGTGCTTAACCATTTATACCACCCAGGGAGCCTGCTGCCTCTGACCAGAACCCTGTAATATCTTCCTAACTCACTTTGGGTACACCTGCAATGGTGTATGTGTTCAATGGCTACCAGTTACATTTCTGGCCTCAATTTATAACTATTCTCTCCATTGTTCTCAGGACTCTATCCAGCTACATTATCTTCTTTTCCTGCCTCAGTGTCTTTGTATTTACTGTTCTCTCTGCCTGAAACAGTCTTCCACCAGATACCCACAAGGTTTGTTCTCTCTATCCTTCAGATCTTTACTCAAATGCCTGGCTTTCCCTACCCACACTGTCTAAATTACAACATCTCCCTGTACTTCCCTTTCTCTTTATTTTTCTTTATAGCAATGTTGTTCCCTAAATGCTACATATTTTCTTATATGTCTTGTTTATTGTCTTGTCTCCTAAACCAGGGGCAGATTAACCAATAAGCAAGGTATGCACAGGCTTAAACAAGGTATATACAGGCTTAATTATGCTTACTTACTAATCTGTAGTGCACAATTTCACGTGGGTTTCACCCCATCTTTGAATAAACAAGTGAAATTGTGCACTACAAATCAGTAAGTAAGCACAAGTAAGCCCATGCCTACTTTGCTTATTGGATAACCCGTCCCTACTCTCAACCCACTAGAACGTAATCTCCAAGAGAACAGTGATTTTTGTCTGCTTTGTTGATTACTGTATATGCAATGCTTAGATCAGTGAATATGACATAATAGGTGCTCAATATATATTTACTGAAAAAAATGAGTGACATGAGGCAAAACAGGAAAACCTAACATAGCAACAAAAGATACCTAGAATTTTCATGTGTTTTAGAATAAACATTCAAACTAAATATTTAAAAAGAGAATGAGTATAAATAACCAATACATACCTGTAAGACGCTCAAGCATCATCATCATTATGGTTGTTTTTGTTTCTGTTATTATAGGGGAGAAATTCCTCATTTTCTATTCAAAATTGGGGGAAACTGAGTCTGCCCACATCATACTCCTAGAAGGGAGATTATGTATCTACTCTTTCCTCCTCAGGCACACTTTCAAAAGGGAGAATCTGCTTATTTGGTCTCTGAGAAGAGTGAAAGTGTTGGAGCAAGGATGGTGAGTAGATGGAGAGGTGGGCAGAGTTAGCAGGTTGGTCTCAGACATTTCCTCACTTTCATTTCTGCCCAATAAATCAGCTTTATCTAGTAAGAAGCTTCTCAATGTCTCCCCCAAAGTACCCAGATTACAGAGCTGAATAAACCTCCAAGGCAAGTGGAGGCATAGCCCAAATAGCATGCCATAAGCTCAAAATTGGAACCCTGGTGGCACAGTGGTTAAGAGCTCGGCTGCTAACCAAAAGGTCAGCAGTTCAAATCCACCAGTCGCTCCTTGGAAACCCTATGGGGCAGCTCTACTCTGTCCTATAGGGTCGCTCTGAGTCAGAACTGACTCAACGGCACCTAAAAACAAGCTCAAAATTGAAGTCCCTGAATTTATTTTACAAATTTATAAAAATTTTACATTCTATACTCTACCAGGTTTGTGTGCTTGTTTTAATTTTAAAAAAGATTTTCTCTCTAATCACCAATAAAATAAAGGTACCAGAAAGAATATGCCATGTTTATGCTTTTTTGTACCCTGTTTGAGAAGTCAAAGTGAAGTGCAATTCTCAGGAACACACCTACCTTATAAATGGTTTCTGTAGTTGTGTGCCATCGATTGATTTCAATTCATAACGACCTCATGTCACAGAATAGAACTGTTCCATAGGGTTTTCTTGGCTGTAATCCTTACAGAAGGAGATCACCAGGTCTTTCTCCCACAGAGCTTTTAGTTGGCAGTTGAGCGTTTAACCATTTGCACCAATACATTAACATAGTACACAGTGATTATTTTCAATAAGCAGATCTCAACTACCTATACTAATAGTGTTCCCAATTCAAAGATTAGGTACCAGTTTTCATACATATTAAGTATCCACCCCTCCTCCCCCTTCAGGGGCATCTGGAAGGAACATCTGAAATGAATGAGGATTCTCCTAGAAAACAAATTATCCAGAAAACTTATTTTAAAGACTATTCTGATCTCATTCTTTACCTTGTCAAGGTCAAAATAATAGAAAAGTCAACAGCAACAAAACTAAAAGATCAAAAAAGTAAAAGAACTTTGGATAATGTACAATATCTCTGATCCTGAATTACAGATCTGATCAAAAGAGCCAGGTATTCTCTGCAATTTCACACTATCAATATCCCTTCAAAGGATCAGATCTGTTTCAACACTTGAACAATAAGGTATTACGATCAGTAACCCTAGTAATGGTGAGTGTATGTTTGTGTGTGCACGCGCACTGAGGGGTGAAGGGGGTGCAGGTGGAATACTAATTTCCTTGATAACATGCTTAAGTGCTTAGCACATAGCCTGATACACAACGGCAGGTTAAATGTTAATTCTTTTTCCTACCATAGCTAATATTCCCTGGCTTCGAGACCGACTCCCACTTGACTTGTTTATCCCTATTCTGCTTTTACTTTGTTGCTTCTCTTTAATCTCTTCATCACAGGGTTGACAGAGGAACAGAGAAACAGAAAAAGTACCAAGATCAAACACATCAAATAGGTAATTTTTGTTTTTCTTTTACTCTTGCTCTTCATCACATAAGAACACAGAACCCCTAGACATGCAGCGCTGCTCTTCCATCTGGCAAAACACGGTCTGTGCTCTCTGTTCTGTTTCTACCTCAACTAGAAGCAATATAACAATGCCTTTGCTTCTACACTGACTACTAAATATTTTTAACAATAAATGCCACAAGTGCATTTATTGCAGCATCCCTCAATACGCATGATGTGGGTTACTCTCTTTTCAAACTAGAGGATTCTGTCACTTTTATAGACAGAATTTTTATAACCTGATCCTCTTATTTTTAGCCTCTATAAGGAATAAAAAGGATAATCCAAGTGCCCATAGAACCTAATAAACTGTATTTATAAAAGTATCATTTTTGATTCTTAATTACACTGAGAAATATGAGGCTCTGTTTTAATTACACATCAAGTGAACTAATATACTATTAAGAAAGTCTTATTTGTCACATTGACTTCTTCAGGTTAAACTGTTAACAATGTATTAAAATTTTTTTACTGTTTCGTGCATATTCTATGTTACCAACAACTAGGAAGTAAAATTAAAAGACCAAAACAAAAAAAAAAGCCCTATATCTTACAAAATAAAATTGGAATCATTTGACTCAAATCTTAATAAACACAATTAAATCTAAGTAACACTGTGAAATTACAACAATTTCACAAGTAGAGGAAAACACATTACACCTTTGGGAAGAGAGTGAAAACACTGCAGAATTTCATTTAAGTGTATGCATCTGCTTGTAACTAAATAACAACTGGCTTTCTGAGCTAATTTTATGCCACTTTAAACAAAGGTTTCAAAATAGTTTCTCTTCTTCACTGGATCTTGGACAGCTAGCTAGAGTGTTTAATTTGGATTTTTAAAATTAGCAGACTCATATTAGCATCTTCATCAGATGCTAGCATCAGATCTAGCATCTTCATAGCAAGTAGGTAACAGCTCTGATTCTCAGAAAGTTCAACTGGCATTCAATAATGAGATAAAACCAATTTTCATTTCCTCCTTAAATTCAAAATCCATAATAGGGACCTTTATAAACCTTACAACTTTTAGCTTAATTCTGAAGAAAATAATATGACTTATTCAACTCTGCTAACGGCTCTATTTATCCCCATCATTTTTAAAGAAGCAGCTGCCTAAATTGCCTCATTATAACAAACAAAAAATACCTAAAAAAAAACACCCATATTTCAGCCAAAAACACATCTACCTCCTTTAATTATGTGGTAACTTCCTAAGAAGCCAGGTATATAGTAAACACATTTCTATCAAATCACATTTTTCCTCTGATTTAAATTACAATTTCAAAGATGAGGCATTACCACTTGACAAATTTGATAGAATCTGGAGTTTGTTTTTGCTACATTCTTAACTTTCCTTAGTAACAATGGCTCACCATTTATTAAACAGCATTTACAACTCATCCCTAATGGACACAGGGCAAGCCTGGGGAGCCCCTTCCTCTGGGTCCTTCACCACCCACAGCTGTGGTGGGGCACACGGGCCCATGGGGCAGGTGGCAGCCACAAAACCCTCAGTCTAGGGGGCCCTGAGGGGCAGCAACGGGAAAGACAAACAAATGCTGAAGCAGAGAGAAGTTTGAGCATTGTCAGGATAACACAAATTTCTGAAATTTTAGAAACTCAATATACCTGCCTTATCATTCATAATATTCCCCCACCCCCAAATTGCATATATTAAAAGCAACAGACACACACCCAAGTATAAGATGGCGATACTTGGGTTAAATTGTTTGGAAAACTCTTAAAGATGATCCCAATCCACTACATAGCTTTGTCTGCCATTTACACAGCACATCACTTGATGGCTCCTCAGTTCTCATCCAATTCCAAGGGGCTGGGAAGGTCTTGGGAGGGTGCACGTTATTGGAAACAAACACACAAATCAATCTGGGATATTTTAAAATGCACAGGCGCATGGCATAAACACAAATAACTTTCTTCAAGTTATAAATTACACAATCTAATGTGCATTTGAAAAAGAATATTCTATTCGAAGCACCTACATGCAATATTAGAAGACATAAAGCAGCATAAGAGAACATATTTTGTAAATTATAAAGCACTACCTACATTTATAAGGAGACTTGGTGCACAATGATTAAGCACTCAGCTGCTAACTGAAAGGTTGGCATTAGAACTTATCCAGTGGCTCTGTGGGAGAGAGACCTGGTAATTTGTTCCTGTAAAGATTACAGCCTAGAAAATCCTATGGGCCAGTTCTACTCTATCACATGGTTTCTCCATCAGTCCAAATCGGCTTGATGACACTTAACACCAGCACCACCTACATTTATAATCCCTGTAACATCTACACTCAGTGTTATTTAACAGGCTCAGTTTTACTTTTTCTGCTTCTCAATTTCTATTCTCTAATGAGACCAATGCTACAATTGCCTCAGAAACATCCTGCCTGGTAATCTCTTAGCCAAGCCCCAGTGCTGCCACATCCACCCAGGGGATATGTCAATAGATCCTTGAAGGCAACAGTTTACTGGAACCTAAGGGTGATTTCTCTCTGCAGGGATTATCCCCATCACAACTAAACGTGGCTCTGCCTCTGACCAGAACCTCCTGACTGCAGAAGCACATTCAAGGGCCTCAACTGGCTTCCAGCTTCCAGTCTGCCCCATATTTACCCACAACACTATTGCCAAGTGGTCTTTCCAAAATACAGATCTGATCATGATCTTGCTGCAGCTTACAATTCATTATATTCTCATAACTTTCAAAATAAAGTCCACGTCTCCCACAACTGGCCCTTTGCCAGGCTCTCCAGTGATCCTGTATCACCACCCGTCACATGGCACAAGGACCTTTGGTTTAATTGCCTCTCTCCACACGTAAACTGTAAGCTACCTGAAACCAGGGATCACACACACACATATTTAACAAATACTTATACAGCCCCTTACTATGTGCCAGGCACTGTTCTAAGTGCTGACGAATATTTTATTTCATACTTACAAGAAACCCTATGAGATAAGTACTATTATCCTCATTTTATAGATGAGAGAACTGAGGTACAACTGACTTTATAGTCTAAGCTCGTAGTATAGCGCTTGGCACATAGAAGGGGGTCAGGTAAATGAGCAATCTAAGTTTTCTGCTATACTCCAACGGGAGAGCAAAGCCTCTGTTTTATGATGTCTACACTTTTACGTGGACACTATCTCCCTGTGCCCTGATCTTCCATCCAATTAGAAATAAACGTCACCTCTATTACCATGTATGCTCTTAGACACAGCA